ATTGCAGCCGAAATCATTTCAATTCCTAACCATTATTTGTAAACATTTCTTAAAGTCAGAACTTTTACAAAATATAAGTAATAATTTTGAATTTTCCAAAAAAGAACATCAAAAATCTTTTAACGAAGTATATTTAGGAAATAAATGTGAAAAATATCTTGACGAGTTGATAACAGAGGGACACGCAAACGTAGTTGCAATAGTTCGAGAGAATTGTTTGCAATTTTACATAACTGCTGCCCAAGAAATTTGTAAAAGATTACCAATAAATGACAAATTTTTATCAAAATTAAAAATTTTCGAACCGGACACAGCTTTACGTGATATTAATAGAGAAACTTCATTTAATGATGTTTCTTTTGTCACTCAGACTATTGGCGGGTTTAACGAAAACGGTTTAAGAAAAGAATGGTTTGCTTTACATCAAAGCTTTACAGAAGCAGAAAAAGATATTCTATCAATGTTGAATTTTGATGACATGTGGAAACAAATGCGTTTTCCAACGCACTCATCAATATCCAAATTTGATGTCTCTTTTGAATGCTATAAGATCGCTACCAAATTCTAATGCCGATTCAGAAAGAATCTTTTCCTTGCTGCCAGATATAAAAACAAAAAACGAAATCCACTTTCATCTGTCAGTGTCAATGCTACATGCGTGCTTAAGTCAGCATTGAAAGCGAGAGGGGAAACAACTGTAGACATAGAAATTAAAGAAAAGCATTTGTCTCTAATGTCCGCGGACAAATTCTATTCTCCATGTCCTAAAAAAAAAAAAAACCGTCTAACACTATATGCTGCAGATATTAATGAAATTGCTGGTCCCTCCTCGTCTAATGATATGCAATAATAATGTTTAGAATAAAATTTATTATTGCATTGCTCATTGCTAATATTTGCTTTGTTCACTTTCAGATGTATAGAATATCACGCCTGTGACATCAGGCATGATATCTTATACATTTGAACATCATGTCTGGTATCATGTATATCAGACCACACATTTAAATGTTTAGGAAATCATGTCTGTTGCAGACATGATATTTTAAACATTTAAACATCATGTCTGGTATCATGTATATCAGACCACACTTTTAAATGTTTAGGAAATAATGTCTGTTACAGATATGATATTTTAAACATTTAAACATCATGTCTGGCATTATATATGTCAGACCACAAGTATAAGTAATAGATATGTACGTGCGCGCGCGCGCGTATCATACACATCTATTATTTATACGTAAATATGATACTAATATATATATGTATATGTTTATAATATACATATAGTTTTTATATTGTAATGTACATAATATTTATATAGTAATATATTTTTTGTGGTATTTTTGCAATAATATGTGGTATAATAGGGCTACAGGCGAAGATCTCCATTTTAAAAAAATCTAGCGCGCTATTAGTGACACCTCATGGGTGGCGTGGAAGGCCACTATTAACTAGTAATAAATTATTAATATATCTTTCTTTTCAGATTAAAGTGGTAAATGTCAAGTAGCAAGCGTGACTAAACGGGTAAAGCGAATAGCTAAAATGTTGAAGATATTGTGTTTGGAATTGCTTCTTGCAACTTTTTTTGCACATGAGTTTCTAACAGTAATCAATCAAATTATTAAATAATGTTATGGGCGTATTGCCCAAAGGATGTGTTCGACTTAGCTAAAGATTACAAAAACCAATTTGTTAGAAAATGTAATTTATTTTCTTCGTCAGAGAAGTGAATATATGTACATGTGCTGTATTCAGTTTGAATTGATTGATTGCGTCGGATGCGCTTTCTCGGTGTGTGTGTAAGACCGAGAAATTAAAAGAAAAATTGGCGGGCGCGGTAAGAAATTCCGGCCGCGTCTTTGTGTAATGAACGAGTCCTAAAAAGGACGGTTCTATTGAATTGGCTCGTTGTAGCCTCTTTCCCGGTGTTGAAGGAACTCCGTTTGGAAAATGGTCTTCCGTCTGGCAGCTGCTCTCCGAGCAAGCTCTAGGCGGCGAAGTCTGGATGGCCACGGAACGAGTTTCCGGTGTGCCTGTAGCTGCAACCGTCTCGGCTCTCGGCGTAACAGAATGCTCTGTGTACCGAGGAGAGAGAGGTCTCCGAATTCGGATGTCGCCAGCAACGAGAGTGTCCCT